TATAGTGTTGCTATGATAGTTTCATTTCATCAATTAATATTATAATAAATTAATAACCTATAAATAATTATAAATCAATCTCTTATAATTAAAGTCAAAATTTTTCGGGTAGTAATAATTGACTTTGTAGGGAACACTTTGGCACAATTGTTGCCTCTGAATTTGTTTTAGTCTGCATACTAGTTGAGCGATAATCTTAAAATAAGTGTGAAGAAAAGTAACACCTCCGACTGGTGCAGAATTACCGATATTTAAGCTAGCCTTTTCTTTTTAAATCAGTCTCTTATAATTAAAGTCATAATTTTTCTAATACAACCTTTCAAGTAGTTATAAGTGACTTTGTAGGGAACACTTTGGCTCAATTGTTGCCTCTGAATTTGTTTTAGTCTGTATACTAGTTGGAAGAAAATCTTAAAACAAGTGTGAAGAAAAGAAACGCTTCTGACCTAGTGTAGAATAACCAATATTTAAGCTAACCATTTCTTTTAACTGTTATTAGAAAGTCCCAGTCTGGCTCTAAAAGTTTTATCATGGTCAAAAATTGCTTGTTATATGAAAAATGGAGAATTTTTTTTTTGAAGTGGACAACAATAAAATTTTTTGTGTAACGTTTATATTGAATGACACTTGATCTGCAATGTCCTGCGACTATTAAGCATTGTACTGCATTCGGCAAATTGCGAAAGAATCTTCTCTGTGCTTCGATGGTTTTTTGGTCAACGAAGATCAAGGTTGGATCCAAACCGAATTTCAAAGATGGCCAGAATTCATTCATATTATATATCAAATTCAAAAAATCAATTACAATATTTTGGTCAAGAATTAACATCTGAACAAATTGAAGCACAAGTAGTTAATGCAACATATCATCTTACTAATTCAAATGAAATTGAAGAAGATGTCCCGTTTGCTTCCTTATCAGATGATGGAGATGATGAATTACCTCAAGATTCTAGAACATTTGTAAGTGAAGAAGAATTAAGACATGTATTGCAATTGGAAACATATGTAATTATTTCTAATCAAGTATTTGTTAGCAATTTGGTAAATATTCAAGATGATGATAGTAATAATAATAATAATGATGATTATGTTGAAAATTATATTGGGGATACAGATTATAATGTTAATATATTAGTGGATGATATTTTAAATAATGAAATTGATTAAATATAAAAATGATAGTATTTTTTTTTATCACGTTTGAAATTTTTGTGAATTGCACAAAACTTCATATAATAAAAATATTAATTTGCTTATAATGATGGATATTTTATATAATGAATTTAATACATACAAAAGTTTTTCAATTAGACCGTAACCTTTTAAAGTTGTGAAGTTACTAGGTTTGTTTGTTATATTCACTCATTAATTCCGATAGGACCGGGAAAACTCTATAGTATGTGACCGCCAAATTAAATGGCAAATCATATTAATGCGAATCTTAGTTTTTT